TGGCTCTAGTTTATGTATATTAAATTACTCGACACACACACATCTGTGTGTAGTAGCAAGAGATGTATACCGTCAGTAAACAGAAAAGCCCAGTTTTCTGCAAACACACACAACGGGAAAAGCAAGTAATGGAATTATTAGAAAAGGAACACACACACAAAAGTAAAAGAAAATGTATTCGAATTAAAAGAGAAAGCTGGTAAACATATTATTAGGTTATTCACCCATGGGGGATATAAGCAAATATGATAATGTTAGTATAACCATTATTATTATTTGTCCTCAGATGAGACCCATTGTTCAGCACACAGTAAAGAAGAACAACACACCCACAATCAGCAGCGGTGCTGCAGTGCGCATCCACACAGGATTGACACTGCTGTCAACACTGGCCTTGTTCTTTACAGTGGAAGTGATGTTGTTGGTGATCTCTGGCTTGGGTAAAGGAGATGGAGTGGTGGTTGGTGCTTGTGTGGTAGTGTTCTCAGTGCTTGGCGGAGTGGTGGAAGTGGTCTCTTCAATTTCCGTTTTCGGACTTACATCCATGTCTGCAGCAGTCGCACTGGTACCTGTATTCTCGTTAGTGGATGCTGTCGAAGTTGTGCTGCCCTCTTCAGGTGCACTCTCGGTAGTAGAAAGAAGTACTGATGTATTCTGCAACACTGTTCCATCCACGGCATTTTCAACAGATTGGGGTGCAGTTTTGGCAGCCTTTTCTGGGTTTTCAAGATTCGTAGATGATTGTTCTCGATGACTTCCTTTACCCGCGTTAGCCACTTGCGATTGATCATTCTGTTGCGCATCATTCTTCAAATCATCTCGTGCCTCCTTCTGTTCTAGCAATTCTTCTTCCTGTAGCGGTGCTTGCCTGTCTAAGTCTGATCCACTGGAACGTTCCTGTCTTCCATCAATCTTCCCATGAGTTTTCCAATGAGTACAGTTCATTCCATTAACTGAAGTATTTTTTGATTGATTAAAACAATCATAATCATAGATTGCTGATCCAAGAAAATCATTCCACTCCGGAACATCAGGACCACCATCAGCCGCCATCACCGCCTTTGGCTGTCCAGTATTAGTAGTAGTGGTAACAATGGTTTTTCTTCTTGTTGCTCTTCTTGCGGTACGCTGGCGGCAGAGGTCTGCGTACTTCCCACATGCAGACACACGGCTGCCCGCACCGCATGTGAGCCACTCGCTCTCAGCAGCGGGGCGTACACGCAGCGCACCGCCGGCCCCGCACGACACCTCCACAGCCCCACGGGATACACCACGGCCACTGGGACTGTCATTATCAACAGCAGCAGCAGCCG